GGGAGGAGAGGGAAGGGAAACAGAGGAGAGAGGAAGGGAAGGGGAGGGGAGGGAAGGGAAGGATGCTGAGAGTTGTTAAGGTATTGAAGTCAACAAAATGAGGTGACAATTCGTAGAGTGAAGGGGTGCTGCATATTTATGACTTGGATGGCTCTGTGCAGGACTCCATTCACTAGCAAAGGAAGCAAGTAGGTTTGTATTTTTCCTTGACACTGCCCAAGATACTCATTTTTGCAAGTTCATTAACTGCAGTAGTACTTAATTTCTTCATCCATTTGGTTGGAGATGGTGCCACGATGTTGTTACAAATACGTAATGGGACATCTTACACAACATTTCAACCACTGTTTAAATGCTCAATAAATACTAGCTATCTTTCTGTCCTCTTTCCCTTCCCAATTCTACATAAATACCATATTTATATAGAGATGCACTTTCCACTGAAATTAAATGTGACCATGACTATGCAGAATGATTATCCTTTACTGTTTGTGTGAGAACCACATGATTTCACTACATTATTACTAATAATTATCTCTTTCATCTACTTCTCCTGGAGTGTGACCAGTCTACTCACCACCATAACATCACCTTGTGTTGCTTTAACAGACCTCACAGCACAAGAGTGTTACTTACATTTAAGAACCCTGAATATATCATTGAAGTGAGAAAGGAATTGTGTCCTCTTGCCCCAACCTATCTCCCATTATCTCGTACTTTGAACAGATTTATTTCTTTCTAGGCTTGAAGATGGACAGTTGTTTACTATTCCAGAATGCACGTGAATGTTTGTCAACTTGCTTCATGAATGATAATGGTATTCATTATAAGAAAATCTATCTGTGCTGACAAACATGGAGAATGCATTAGAGACTGTTACTCAGTTGGAAAGCCTATAGCTGGAGACACACTTCCAACATCAGCATCCTTCCTTTATCCATCCCTGTCTCCAAACTAATGAAGACTATTCTATAGTCACATACCTTGCATCCATCCAGTCTTGGACTTCCCTCTAGGTCTTTGAAGTTTATCTCCATTCTGAAAAAATATAAATTACCAAAGATTTTCTTTACTATGAAACTTTCCTTTTTCATCCCAACTTAGAGACCCCATATAAATATGAAGAAAATATATGCTCAAGACTAAAAAGGAACTACAGCAGATCCATGCGATGGTATTGAGGGAACTTTCTAGAGTAGACACAGATAAGAGCACACTGCCTCCTAATGACGGTTAGAGCTTTAAGGTTCCTGCAGCTCTGGAGGTCAAGTTAGTGGATAGGATATATCTTTGTAAAGTTTTAAGTACCTAGGGAGAACACAAAAATAGCAATTATACCATGAACCTGATCTCTGCCTAGATTAACTGTAAAAATGGAGAACAGCAAAGGATGAAATAAATCGATACTAAGAATAATCTCTGGGTAGCAATAATTGAATCATGAATCTTTTTTATCTATAAAAGACCATAAATAGTACCTTAAAGTATAAACCTTATGTGATAAAGAAATTAAGGCTCAGGAGGATGAAACAACTTGTATGACCAGCAAGAAGCAAAATGAAAATCTGATTTTAAGTTGTTCTACCACTAGCTTGGACCTTTCTGTTCTTGACAGCGACCTGTCCACAGTCTCTGTGGCCTGCAAAGTGACTATTTCACTCTACCAATCATTGTTCCCCAGTCTGGTTCCCACCACCACTCAGCTTTCACTGCTGTTGTTGCCTTCTTTAGGAAGTTACTATCAATAAGAGAAGTTAGGTCATATGAAATTTATTTTAAACAACATGTTATTTATCAGGTACTCAGCCATTAAGGGAACTGAGGGTTTTCTTTTAGGATCATATAGGGATGAAGAATCAAACTTACTTTTTTAATGTGAATCATGGGTCTGTAGCAGGAACATTCTGTGGCCAGAAAAAGCACTAGACAGCAAACCATGGTGACCTGGGACTTCATTTTCACACATTGGGAATTTAATCTGCAGTAGAGAAAGAAGGTAGATCCTGCTGACAGTGATAACTTCATTTGACTTGATATATAGCAGGGTGAGCCACACAAAAGACCTGCCCCAGGAGAGGATACTGATACCTATTTTCAACCTAGTTAAAGTGTGAAAAAAAAAAAAAACTTTCTCTCCCTTTCTACAGCAGAAAATGCTAGAAGTGCCAGGAAAGATGTAATTCAGCAAAGCACCATCTCTACCACTTAATCTACAAATATCTTTTTTTTTAATCAATAAATTTCTTTAAAGTAGCATTTATCAAAAACTTTCTAACTAGGTATAGTGACACAAACTTTAATCCCAGCACGCAGGAGGAAGAAGCAGGCGGATCTCTGTGAGATCAAGGCCAGCCTGGTGTACATAAGAGTTCAAGGTCAGCTGGGGCTATAGGGAGACACTGGCCCCAAAAGACCAAAATTAAAAGTTAAAAAATATATTTTTAAAAAATATATGGTAGAACCAAGGGTTCAAACCAAGTGGTTCAGTTACAGAGCCAGTCTTTCTTGTTAAGAAATGACCACTCTCTCTCTCTCTCTCTCTCTCTCTCTCTCTCTCTCTCTCTCTCGCCAGAACAAACATGGAGAGGTCAGAGGACAATTTGTTCTCTCCTTCTATGATGTGTGTCCTGGGGATTGAACTCAGGTCATCAGGCTTGGCAGCAAGTGCCTTTGCCTGCTGAGCCACCTCACTGACCCTAAACCATTCATTCATATATATACGAATCTCTTGCCCGTGATGCTAATGACTTCGGGGGATGAATAATTCTTAGATGTTGGGTGCTAGTTGGCCTGTGAATTACAATATGTTTAGCAGCACCTGTGGTCTCTGTCGAATAGATGCCAGTAGTGTTACCCACATCCTAGGTATGTCAGCCAAAACATCTCCAGACATTGCCAAATGTGTCGGACGGTGGAGAGAGAGAGAGAGAGAGAGAGAGAGAGAGAGAGAGAGAGAGGCTATCTGACAGTGCGGTACACCAGCTCTCTAGGCACTTGAAAACAGTAACTTGAAGTAAAGTTTATATATATATACTTGTCTGCTACTAGAGCCAGTGCTTAGACCCCCTTTACTAGACTGATAAATTACTGTGCAGATAACTATCTCTTCTGTTGCCATGGCTGTATTTCCTACTTTTTTTTTTCCTTGAACCATCTTTTCAAAGTCAGATCTTTAACAAAGTATCAACATATCTGAGTCTCACCAGCATCATGCTAATCATCACTGTGACCCTTTCACATGGGATGGTAGGAGTTTGGAACTCATATCTGACAGCTTTCCTTAGGCCTGTTTTTCTTGAAGGAAAATAAAAATAGCTTGGATTTTGGAGTTGGTAACAGCTGTGTTCTAATTTCCTCCCTACTATATGGAAGCTACTTGACTTTACTGAGCTTGGTTTTTTTTTTTTTTCATTCATGTTATAATCTGTAGGCACACATTCAAAAAAAAAAAAAAAAGAGGCATTCGTAAATAACACCTGCACCTGGAACTTCAGGCTACTTTCCTTACAGTTATCAATATAGAATTTTGTTTAAAGTTAAGCATGCTCGCTGGACATAATGATGCACACCTGTATTCCTGGTACTTAGGCTACCTGGAATGATTCTACCAACCATGATTTATCTGCTGTCTCTTATTTCTCAGAAACTGTACCAGATATGAGAGTACAAAAATAAAAGATACTGTCCCTGCCATAAAGGACGCAATGAGGAACACAGAAAAGCCAAAGGTAAGATCAAGTACATATTGCAAGACCAGGCATTGGTAAGCCTTTGGCAAGCATTGACGCCCTTATACTCTGATGCAACTCTGAAACACTGATGCTCATGAGGCCCACTGTGGCCTGGGAACAGACAAAACCCACTGACCTGGTAGCAAATCTTCCTGAGGAGATTGAGCTTAAGATAGGCTTTCAGGAGTCCTGCAAGCCTCCGATTGAGATGAGCCCCAGGTACTGACATAAAGGTTTCCACATTCTCTTTAAGTTTAAAATTACCAACCAATGAGCAGAGGGAAAGTATTTAGGTTTACAACATCATCTTGAAAAACAAGTCTGGGCAGGGAAAAGGAAATACGGCAGAAAGAAGCCAAAGTGTGGCAAAGGATTTGCATAGACAATGGGATTATGTGTACAGAATTCATTATCTTACACTGTGGGTGGAAAGTAGTTCCCACGTGTGGAGTAAATCAGTGCATGGGTATGCTAAACAATTTTTATGATAGATATTTAATCAATTATCACAAAGGGAAATAACAGAAGAACCAGTATATGTCTCCTTAAAAGTGTTCATACATTTTGCATACACTCCTATGACTTTCAAATTTTTTGGCTATGACACAATAAGAAACACAATACTCATCCTGAGTTAATATGTGTAGACAAATACAGATATGTCTATAGGTATCTATATGTAAAACTGAATGAAACATAATTATTATGCTTTAAACATTTTTATATAAAAATGCTATTCTCCCTACCTAAAAGCCAGGTACTCTGATGCATCCAGTGATTTTTATTCATTATTTTTATTTTGTGTGTGTAAGTATTTTGCCTGCATGAATGTAAATACACCCATGTATGCAATGCCCACAGAGGCCTGAAGAGGGAGTTGGATCCCCTGGAACTCAAGTTACAAATACTGTTAGCCACTGTGTGGGTGCTGGGAACTGAACCTGAGTCCTCTGCAAGAGCAGCCAGTGCTCCTAACCACTGAGCCATCTCTCTAGCCCTGTATCCAGTATTTTAACTTGCATGCTACTCTAGTCTATTTGACATGTTCTCAAAGAGGAAACGCCATGCACTATATTAAATTCACAAGTCTCTAATACATTATAGCCCACCATTTGAAAAACAGAAATATGCACTACCAGACTCGTTTCCATTGTCGACGTGGAGCTTCCTCACTTCTTACACTAACATGGTCATATTTCTTTGTTTTTCATAATTATATGGAAATCCCCCATCCAAGGTATATGTATCAGAGTCAAAAGATAGCCACACTCGGGACCAAATAAGTAGACCAAATTATGAGGATGAGCCAAAGTCTCCTCCACTGGGAAAGAGGATGAGAAATGCACAAATGGGTGAAAGAGCCAAAATAAATAATAAATAAATAAATAAATAAATAAATGCATTTGTAAATAACACCTGCACCTGGGGCTTCAGACTACTTTCCTTGCAGTTTTTAGTAAAGAATTTTGTTTAAAGTTAAGCATGCTTGCTGGGCATAGTGATACACACCTGTATTCCTGGTACTTAGGCTACTGAAGCCAAAGGATTGTGAGTTTGAGGCCATTTAGGGTTATATAGGGAGTTCCTGTGAGAAAAGAGAAAGGAAGGAAGGAAAGGAGGGACAGAAGGATGGAGGGAGAGAAGGAAAGAGGGCGGGAAATGGAATGGAATAGGAAAAAAAGGAAGGGAGGGAGGGGGGAGAGAAAACCTTGCTTGAAAGAAAAGCAGGTGCAGTGAAGTGACAGGATTTTCACACAGCTCCTGAGAATGATCAAGAGTAAATGCCCCATAGTCCTGAAGCATCCATAGATCATTGTGCTCCTAGAAGAGCACTGTGAGATAATGACACACTTTCTCTATTCCTATAAACTAAGAACAATTTTACTAGCAGAAAATATACATGTAGATATGAAATCATAGCACTACTGGAGGAAACACGAGATTTGAACTCAGCGCAACTGGCTAGAGGGTTTCAATCACTTGTTATTATAGTCTGACATATGTAATTAACATATCGCTTGGTACGGTAATTATAAATCAACTTTTTTCGGTGACAACAAAAGTTTGGGGGGTTTTGAAAGCTATTGCAGAGCAGGACTTGTACCACTCTCATTTCTGCATCTTCTGATTGGTGAGGATAGGTGGATGTTTTCAGGCTGGTTCCAGTGGGGTTTGTTTTAATTCTTCTCAGAAAGTGCTAAATGGGACCGTCCCTCTAGAACTCAGGCTTGACCAGGGACAAAAGCTGGTGTGCTCCACAAAGCAGCAAACAGCCATGAGAAAGGGAATTTTAAAAAAAAGACGTATCATCCACATAATTCACAATCAGCAGTTGAAACTGCAATAGAGTGCAGAAAGCATGCCTTCTTAGATTTACTGTTGATAAACACTTAAAATGAAATACGGAGCTGGCAAGATGTCTCAGTGGGAAAAGGCTCTTGTTGCCAAACCTGACAACCTGAGTTTGACCTGCGGAACCCATATAAAGGCAGAAGGAGAGAATCTGCTTGTCCTCTGACCTCTATATGTACATTCATTGTGGTGTGTGCGTACACACACACACACACACACACACACACGCAAATAAATTATAAACAGAAAAATTAAAAGCACTTAAAGTGAACTTTAAATTGTGTGTGATTCCAAACTGAAAAGTTTCTGCAAATACGTTAAAATACCTCTTCAGTCCTTAGCACAATATATCTGTAGTAGGTTATCTCTTAAAAGACCAAGGAAAAGAAGACACAAAAAAAATCTGAATATTAATTTAAATGCAACAAAAAGAGTATAGATATTCCAAAGGAATGCTTGCAAATTAAAAGAAAATCATAGCCCTGAAAGAAGCAGCTCTCAGACTGGAGCCCTGCTTAGGCGTCACATTTAGCTGACAGGCTTAGCAGTTCCCAGTGAAGGTTGGCTGAATGTATGTCAGGTCCTGTCCTACATGGAGAATCTGAGTTGTTGCATGTACGTGATATTTCAATTCTGTTCTATGGTTCAATCATTTTGTTAGAAAAGCCGTGTGCATCCCTACTATCCAGAGCCCTGAACCTGCAGATGTGGTGGCAAAAAGAAGGTAGGTCTCAGGCTATTTAAAACCCTAGTGCCTGTACTACAGGTGTAGGTTCCTGGTAAAACACCCACTCAACCTAGGAAAGGCCTTGGGTTCAGCCCCAGCAGAGAGCACCTAGTGGGGGAAAAAAAGTAAACAGTAGCCCTAACACA